GCTTTACTTGACAGACATGCTAAGAATTTTCTCAACTCCTCTACCTAATAACAGAAAAAATATCTTCCAGTATTTATAGGCACCATACCAGAATAAACAGAATTCTTCACTTCTGACTTAGTGTTACCTTTTTAACAATTGTACTTATTTATCAAGTCAAGCCATTGTTTTACTGGCCTGTTGTAGAAGGATAAACTGTACATGCAGTATTAAAACTATTTAGTATTAATTTAAATTTTTCTGCAATCTTAGACAATAATTTTGAATCTGTGGAATTTAGCCACATGTAGGTACCTGAGTATGGTAACTTGTTTTAAAAAATACGACGATCACTGAAGATCATCAGTAGTAAATCTCCATTTGTTTCAAGGGGGAAATCGTGGTCATTTCTTTACTGTAAAGAATGTATTTAATTAATCACAAAACATTGACAAACACAATAGCATGAAGTGTTTGAACACCATACTGGCAAATCACACTAAGAACAGCCATTCTGTGCCAGATCAGGATATCCACCTGAACAAACAAACTTTGGCAGTGGCTAATAGTGACTGCCAAGGAAAGAACAAAAATGGGGCTAGTCCAAGGATACCCTTTCCCAGCTGTCAGCAGGCTTTAGCTCAGGGATTTTTCTACACAGGACACTATTTTATGTTTAATGCAAAGTTTTATTGCATGCATTTCTTGTGTTGAATTTGAGCTAGTGTAAAGTTATTTTTTGTAGTCAAACAGTTGCCAATGAATTTCAAAATCTGCTATGTTAAAATGTACTTATTTTTCAGCTGCATCCTCGTGAGTTTGTTGATCAGCCTCTCTATGAAAAAGTGAATAATTACACACTATGACCACTTGTGATTTTAGAGACCATTACCATACTCATCTTCAATTCTCTCTCCTGTAGACTGAAGAGCCAATTCCACCTTACAGATTTGCTCCTCAAACAAAAGATACTTACGCTGTTGCCTCTTTCTGTAACTTAAGGAGACCTTTTTGAAGTCCATTATTGTCTACTTGAATCACCTTGTCTCCATATTCACCAACCCCTCTGAAGAACATGAAAGTGAATTACGCCTAAAATAACTGATGCACCATTTTTATATCATATATGTTCACAGCACTATCTACACTTTTTTTTTGGGTGGGGGTGTTGGGGGGGTGGGTGGGTGAGGAAGGGGCAGAGGAAGGAACCAAAAACACAATAAACCAAAAAAACAAACTCCATCACCTGTTATTTAGGGAAAGAGAGGTTTAAGCAGAATGTTTAACCCACAGACAGTAGTTACAGTTTCAAATCTGAATTCCTTCAGGAGTTTCACAAGACTACTGTCTGAACTTTGTATTTATTCTCAACAACTTGTTCAGAAAGGTTTTCATTCACATTTTCTGTGCAGGAAGGGTTCAAGACAGGGACCATTCTACCTTCCCTCATAATGGATGTGAAGAATCAGTATTTTAAATCCAACTGAAATCCATATTTTAATAGCATTTCAAAATAATTTGCCTTTTTTTGTTCTATTAAGTTGCTGTAGGCACATTTATTTCAGCAATCCTGTGATGTTGGTGATATACTCCAGCATTAATCAAGTAACAATTAGAAAGGAATCCCTCTCAGAATGTAGGAATAAGAACAAGAACTTATCAAAGCAATCTGCCTTACCAGACGTACCATAACTTACTATACCACTGTCTAAAATTATGTTTTCAGGTTACTTCAGGTTTATTTGCACTTTTTTCTTTTTGGAATAACAAAATATGTTGTCATGCCCAGTAACAAGGTCAGGTAACTGTATCTCTGGCAAAACCAAACTACACACGTTCTTGGTGTGAAATTACAGGCAAAAGCTAAAATTAGTCCAAACTAGCTTCTCTTTTTCTACCACATGACAAAACTTTGCAGATAAGGGTAATTAAAATTTCCATTCCATAGTATCACTTAATAGTCTGGTTTGTTTTAAATTATCCATCAAACTGCACAGTTAAAGAATACACTGCTAGAATTCTGAAACTGTGCTTTTAGTTTCCTGACAGTCTTTAGGTTCCATTACAACATCATGATTTTGAGAGTTTGTTATAATAAAAAAAGTTTGTTGAAATTATGAATGCTGCCAATCTTAAAAATAATTTGGTATCCTGAAAATGTAATTTTATCACAACAGAGCTATGCAAAATCTACTGAAGTATTTGCAGGTGTGCACCCACATTTTGTAAGGGGGTCCTATAGTGCAAAGTAGATACTGCTATCTGTAGTCAGCAACAGAATGGGGAGCATTTACTTTGATTTCAATTAGGCTTAGAGAAAAGAAATGCCATAAAATATAAAGCTTAGGACCATTCTGAGCACTGAGAAGACAGCTAAACATGGTTGGTTTGGGTTTTGTTTTTCTGTGGCTCATCACTGAGTTGATGTAAACAGGCATACATTTAACAGAACAGAATTAATTGCAAGGAACTTGGGAGGAAAAAGTGGCAGGAAGGGGGAAATGTGAATGTGAGGTAAAATAAAAAAAAAAAAAGGGTTTATTAGTAAAGTTAAAATTTCACTGAAACATTCCTGATTTTGAACAGAAATTATAGTACTGGAGTGGCCAACCTGTCATGTATGAAAATTTTCATGTGGTCAAGAGACATTAAAAAAAAAAAAAAAAAAAAAAAAAAGTGTGCCACATACCTTGTAGAGCTAATGGGAATAAAAGTAGTAGCATACTGAGAGTCAACAGGAATAATCCAAATCTCATTGTGACATGTAGCTGGCTGAGACAGCAATGATGAATAATGAGACTTTTCCAGAAAACTGGTAATACTATGGACTAATTTGCTAGAACTGGGAAAGGACTTTGTCCTGTAGCTGAATTCTGCCTCCAGAACTTCACAGAATATAACCACACAAGTCTAAGTGTAAACTACCTCAGATCAGCTGGTTAATTTTTGGCATTAGACTTTCCACAATAATGGAAGCTACGAAACTGTAAAGAATACCTCTCAAATCTACACAGCTCAATGAAAAGAATGTAAATGTAAGATCTATGTAAGGTTCTCTGCAATGCTGGCACACAATTGTCTTGTAATTCTTTCATACTCTTTTGGTTGTTTTTCCTATGTACGGTGGTAAGACACCTCAGATGCATGCAAATCCTACAGGGTAAAGAACATGTTCTATTTGTTTGGGAGCTTTAAACTTTTTCTTTCCACACTAATGATTTTGCTGTTTCCAGAGGTTTGAAATATTACTGCAATTAAAAGCTTTTATTAGTTGGATGCAGCGCAGCTACACCTACTGCAAAGATGTATCTCTAATCCGTTCAGCATTTGTATTAGCACCGAGTCCTCAAAATCACTTTAGACTTCCATTTTCAGGTCAGTGGTTGAGGATACTAAAAAACGTAATTATGGCAGTTTACCTGTTGTGCCTTTTGTTTTGACGTATTGTAGATTTGGGAGCAATTTTACCTGTCATAACACACTGCAGAATAGATAGAAGCTGGAGTTCACTGATAAAACATTTGCTTCTGCAGGTACTTAAGTAAAGATGATCAGATCATCCTGTACAATTTCAGATCCAGCCTACTGCTGTAGTATTCTGGTAAGTTAATGAAAGTGTAATGAAGTTTAGCATCTACTTGATTTTCTGATCTCTAAAATATATTCCTGTTGGCACTAGTGCTCTGCAAGGTCTTGCACTCAATTTCACTTCTGGGGTTTGAAGACTGTAGTGATGATAATCAACTCTCTTCCACTGTCATCATGCTTATTCTCAAGAAGCCATCCAACTGGAGAAAAACATCCCAAGTCCTAAGGGAAGTGATCAGAGGAAAAGGTCTGGGCTCAAACATAACTTAAAGACTTCAAGGTGGGGTGTACAGTACAGAATCATGATGAACATATGTATTTAAAGAAAAAAAAAAAAAAAGAAAAAGCTTTCTCCTCAGGAAGGGGACTTAAATTCTCCTTTGAATATTTCCATTATCTTAGCAGAAGAAACAGAAGAAATTGCTCTATGTGAAACTTGATTTTAGTAACAAGAAGTATAGATTAACATAGAGCGATTTTATATATCAGGTGTCCAAAGATAATGTTAGGTATCTAACACTTATCAGTCATTTCCCTGGACTACATAATTTCAAAAACCAAGCTGTGTATTTGATATCCAAGCACTTTTCAATATTGAAAATCTTATAAAGCTTGAAGACCATTAAATTAAGATCTTGCTGATCTTCACTTGTAAAAGACAAAAAAAAAAAAACAAAAACCAAAAAACAAAAGCTAAACACACCGAACAAATCAAAACTGAATGGCTCTTCTTATTACTGTCTCCTTAGTAAGATCAGCATATTAAAGCTTAGCCAGAACACAAAGAGATGCAGCAGATTCTGGACTGTTAGAGATTCCAGTTTGGTGCACTTTGGCGTTCCTGGAGGACTTTAGGCTCTACTGCACAATGCAGCTTTCAAAATTCAATAGGAAGATGCATTGGAATGCCTGTGATAGGAAAATAGTGACATCAGCCAGCAGACTGACTGCACTGAAAGTGGGGCAAAACCAATGCTTTAAACAAATGTTAGCCAGAGTATAGGGAAGCTGGTTAAGACTGAAACAAATCTGGGCAACAGTATTAATTTGGGCTAAAAGAAGGCTATGTAGTATACATTTATACAGAATAGTCTATATACCTGTACTCAAATGTTAAGTTTTATACATCATACTTTGCTCTTGAATTGACAAACTTCTCTTGTATAAAAGAAAAAAACCCACCTTATATTGAGAAAATTTGTATAGGCAAAGCTGATAAATTTAAACATGATAGAGAATATAAAATTACCATCAAAGATAAACCATACTCTTTACAGTTGCGGCTGATTTCAAACATTCCTTTTGATAGATTCCTAGTACAGCAATTTTTCAGAAGTATGAACACTCCAAATCTCCTCTATTTATAGGGAAGTTTGCAACAGGTTCAATTGGAGACATCAAAAACATTTTAAATAGACATCACAAGATGCATCTGTAGTTTAAAGGTCAAATTTATTAGGAGATTAAGAGATGTATTGTAAATGGTCTATAAATATAGCACAGCTGATTTCATTCACAGTCAGACAGCCAATGCCAACCTATTTTGTAGACACCCTTGTTCTTTTGTTCCAAGAAAAGTTTGCACCATAAGACTTGGATTTAGGTGTCGGAATCTTCTTCTCTTCAACATCATAGCTCCAACCTGCAGGTTACAGGGGAAATGGTGGGGAGACAAGAAACAAAGAGAATTCTAAATATTCTCGCCATACAATATAGAGCAAATGCAACCTAACTGTTTTAACTTTAGTATATTTTTCTTCACATAGATATCCAGTAGTTTATTCCTTAGTAATTGGCAGCAGAGAATACTGAAATGCCATGTGACATATGCCCGTTCTCTCAGTTGGTAAGACTTCACCATACTAGGCACCTCCATTTTCTTTACTTCTGCAAAAAACTTGACAGTCATCAGTGAAAAGATCAACAGGGAACAGAGACCGTCCTTCAAGTTCATGGCTCCACAACTCCATAGCATCACAGAAGCACTAAGGCTCTATGTATGTTGAGACAGGAAATACAAATAAAGGAAAGGTGAAAAAAAATAGTATACAGAATATCAATCTCAGTGGTCAGGAGAGAATGGAGACTTTGGAAAGCCAGAGGAAAAAAGAAGGGTGGGAGGATCAAAGAAAGGAAGAGCAAAGAAAAAACTTCAGCATTAGAAAGGAGTTTTATACTCAACATTTTTATAAGAACATAAAAAATTAGGAGTAATAGAAAAGGGAATGAAATGATAGAAGACAAGTAAATTACGTGATAGTTAAGCAAGAGAAATGCTAAAAAATGTCAGAAAAGAAGAGGTGGAGACATTAGTGTTTATGTAAATCAAAATGCAAATTGGTTGCAGACTCCAGGTGCCTGGAATGTTGCCAGGGTAGCACTCAGTATTCCAAAGTTTGGTCTCTTTTGCTGCAACATTTCACTCAAAGTTGAGATACTCGAGTTGAAGCCAGAAGTAGCTAAGTATGCAGTTTTAACTGATACTAATAAGATGATACTTCCTTAATTTTAAAACAAAAACTTGGTAAGCCCTAACAGGTTTAACATATATCTGCATTTTTACATTTAAGATGTTCACAGAAAACACTCAAGACAATCTGCACATCAAAACATATTTTGTAATGTGCAAGTTGTCATGTCACTATGTCTGAATTTTGTGTATCCACAAATGTCACACAAACATTTTCTTCATGCTTATGAGGCTGCATCAATGTTAATTTCCAAGTTAACTATTATCTGTAAGAAACACTGGAGCAGAGGTTTTAAAAACATATACTTTCCATCTGGGAGCACACTGGCTTTTGTCTCCTATGATGATTAAAAATTAAGTGTGAGTAAACAGACAGAGCTAGATCCAGAGACAGACTCTGGTATTGCAATATTCAGCATCATAACATCTAACTTTGAGGCACTTGGCTGCTGGAATGCAATCAACAGCCCTAAGTTATTGCTTCACCTTTTTATACACTAGATAGCGAGGAGCCAAGTGCCTCTAAAAGAGATTTGCAACTGCCAGCACAATGACCTGGGCTGCCATAGATATCCAAAATCCACAAAGTTAGTTACATCTAACTTTGGATTGCAGGAGGCCACCATATTTGATAAGGTTTCACACTCTGGAACAGTGTCCTTGAATTAGGCACCTCCAGTTGTTCATGACAGAGACCAGAGGTCACTTTTATAAAAACACCACGATGGAGTGGGAAGTTATTCTTGCCCTGCCACACAAGCCAAGTGGATAGAAATCAGATTTCATCATCTCTGGAAGAACATCCTCATCACCTGACTAAAGGTTATTGTGGAGTAGAAAAGTCCTCTATCTTTGTTACTAAAACTGTATGTTTTTTAGCAACTCCCTGGGTGATGTCAGACAAGACAAAAAATAATTTAGGCACAGGGCAAACTTTCAGTTTCATCCAGTTACAAGTGTTTCCTCCTTGCCTTGACTTCAGACCATCCTCAGCTGTCATATTTTGGACAGAGATGTCTCCTGTTGCTGTATTCAGTGCTATTATTCCTACATTAGAAAAAAAAAAAAATCAGATGGGGCAGGCAGAAAGATAGCTTGCCTCAGGTTCCTGAAGTTCTTAGGTGAGAAAGAACTTTTAGGTTTTCCAATTGTATCAAAATACTTGCAATATCCAGGATTTGCAGAAATTAAACTTGAGGTACTTAAGGAATTTTGTAATGGAAAACTTGGGTGGTTCAGATGGGAAAGACAGTGAGGTAAATATTTGTGTTCCTAGACACAGACATGTTTCAAGAACACCTCGGTTTAGCTTCTAAGTTCCATTGTAAATGTGTGCCTGATTTCTCATTTCTTTCTAAAAGTGGAACTAAATACTGTAAAATTTCTATTTCCAGCTACATCTGATACCGAAGCTATTATTACAAAAAATATTATGCACATATCATAAAGCATAAAACTAAGCCACTTTAAATAAAAATGGAATAATAATTTAGGCAAGCCACTATCTGCAGAAAAGTTTGGTACATGTCAGTTATGGTAAAATTAAGGGTGCAAGCTAAGTGAATACTGAACTAATAATGTTAATACTAAGTCACAGTCTTAGTTTAGTTGGTAGAATTTCTTTGTAGTTTTCCCACACAATGGACATTCATTACTAATTCAGTAAAGGCATAAACCTACAGTGAAAAAATCAAGTATTTTACTTGAATTTGCATTTTGAAAGGACAAAATATAACATGTTCAGATGACATAAGCAGCACATTAAGACAGTGATATACAGGCCAGGATCCAGGTTTTTTCTCTTACAGGCTGAATTTCCCAAGAAACAGAAATAGCATGAATAATACAGAAGCATAAGTAACACCAGAGACTCCCAAATTTCATATCTGTTCATAAAACATTACAAAATACTATTGAAATTGCATAGTAATTAGTATATCCAATGCAAATATGATGATCCTATTAATTTCTTAGTGAACTAATTTATTTTTCAATAAAATTAAGACTATTACAATAACAAGAAAGATCTATTCCAAGAGAAATACAGGAATTAAATATTAGCCTTTACAATTAAAAAGTACAAATAAATTGCACATTAAATGGTTTAGCTTCTTAATTGTATAAGTTAACGGACTTACCCTGTTTTCTAGGTGTACAACATAAGTCATCTAACAACTCTGCACAATTTGGTCTGACCAAGAAACTTTACTGTCTATATACACCAGACTAAACATAGTTGAAAGCTGTAGACCACAGGGAAGACTTACGAAGAAACTTACACTCCATGGGCACTATTCCTGGCTTTAACTCAGTGCAGTTAATCTTTCTCACATCCATGAGCACTGAGCATGAAGACTAGCTCTTTAAGGAAAACGCAATTTAAAAAAAAAAAGAAAAAAAAAGGCAGTGAAAAATTCCTAACAATACAAAAAAGGTCTGCTGGATATTTAAAGGGCTGAGATTATGGATATTTCTTGCAGTACCACAATTCTGTGAGAAAATACAAGCCTAAAAAACAAGTAAGTTTACAGATACAGTCCTTCCAATACATCACTAGTGTTAAAAATATTAAGTAATGATACTGGCTTTTCTAGTATCTTTTTCTCAAATACAAACAATCATCATGTGTATAGTTTTGTACTTGTGAAGAGTTAGGTTTAACTTCCTCAATCTACAACTTCCTTATGGGGGTCGGCAGAGGGGGAGGTGCTGATCTCCTCCCTCTGGACACCAGAGATAGGACACGAGAAAATAGAATGAATCTGCGTCAAGGGCAGTTCAGGTTGGACATTAGGAAAAGGCTCTTCACTTGAAGGTGGTCAGTCCCTGGAACAGGCTCCCCAGCAAAGTGGTCACAGCACCAAGGCTGTCAAGGAGTGTCTGGACGATGCTCTTAGTCATATGGTTTAGTTTTAGGTAGTTCTGTGAGAAGCAGGGAGTTGCGCTCAATGATTCTTATGGGTCCCTTCCAACTTGAGATACTGTATGATTCTATGATAAATCCCATTCTGCAACCTGGCCAGAACTGAAGTCCAGTGTGCTTACTTGGTAGTCCATTTCAGCTTTTCTGATTATCAAACATTTACAAGGGTTCTGACAGTCTTTCCTTAACTAGAAATTCAGATGCTCATGTCAAACCTTCAGGAAAAAATCTCACTGCCATGTAACTAGGGCCTCCAGCCTGGGATACTCTTAAAGATAGAAGTATTAATATTAATTTTCCTCCAAGACCTGAGTAAGGCTCAGTTCTCATTCAAAACACAAATACTTCCAAAAGCATTGCAGTAGTAGTGCTAAAAGGCTGGAACACTCTTCCAGATTCAGTGTCCTAAGGACCCTCAGAAATATCCGCCCCCCTGCCCCGTTTTCTTGCTTCACAACTAGAGCACTAATGGTCTACTAGTTTTGTGGAATAGAGTGAAGGTACTTCTTTACTTTTACTGTTAATACTTTGAGATCAAGACTGCTTATAGAAAGCTGAATCCCTCATAATACATACAATACATACCATTTTTTTCAGCAAAGGCAATGGCATCTTCTTTAGTAGAGAAAGTAAGAACCATGTTGGATAAAGGATCAGCTCTGTAAGAAATCCGATGACAAATTTTAAGCACATCTGAAATATAAAATAATTACATCTGTATCTCAAATGCTAGCCAAATGCTGTATTACACAGCTTTTTGTAGTATACCACCTCACAAGGCATTCAAAATCCCTTTATTTTTAATTATTTCCAGGATTAACGCTTGCTTTCTGCAAGGTATTGTTTTACTCTTTCCATTTGTAAAACTTCCCTCCAACTCATTGTGGAAATTAATGTTTTAAGTTTTCTATTAGACAAACATGTCTAACCACCTGCTGAGGTTACAATAAGTATTCTGCAACAACCTTATTAATTTTTAAAGCTGTGTAGTCCCTCTCTTTCTGGATGGTCTGGAGGCTTAAGGTAATTTTGAACATTTCAAAGAGACCAGGAGTCTATAAAGTAGCTAGGGGAAGAATCATTTTATACAGAAAAGAGCAGAATATCAAAGTGAGCAGAAATTAATCAGAGACTGAAAATTACATGAAAAAACTCAAGAGTTCATCTTTGGCTGAGGTCACATGATCTCCCCAAATTATCCTAGTACAGCAAGCAGATCACAGGCCACCACTGTAAACGAAGCTCAGAGACATAAACTGCTAGCTAACAAAATACACAGTGGTTAGTTTTAGATGATCAGCTATTCCTCGGCTGAATTTCGGAAAGGAATCAAACAGCAAAAGGCTTTTTGAGACAAATTAAAATCTCAGTTAAAAAAACCCCTGCCTTATCTGTTGTTATAAAAACTCAATTTAAGAATAATGACAAAGGATGAAAAAAAATAGCTTTCTAAAAATTAACCTAAAAAACTTTTAGAGAAGTAAGATACGGGTTGTAGCAGCACAATGATGAGATAATGCTGCCCTGAGACAACACTGCACATGAGCCTGGGAGACAACCGGGAAGGCAAGACCAAATTGCAACAAACTATTGAAGGAGCTGCCTCTCAACTCTTCTCTCTTTGAAGCTAGAAGGGTAAATGAAGAGAAAAAGCAACCAAAGATACATTGAACTCTCTACAATAAAGACAAAGACTGTGACTGGCAGAGGGGGAGGGGAAGAAGGGGAATCTAGCTTCCAGCAAAGACAACAATGTAATTTTATCTGATGTACGCATGGAAAAATGGAGTTCACTATATATACAATATATTCCCCAATAAAAAATAAAAATAAAATAAAACCAAAACCCAAACAGGATAAAGGCAGAAATTATACTTTCACAAGCCACTAAGATGGGTTCTGTTAAAGACATTTAAAGATTTCTTTTACAAAGGCAGTAATGAATAATAGGAACTAAGAATTAGTCCATGACATGATCACTGGAGAATCAAGTGACCCAAATATATTCCAATATTGTGACAACTTTTACTTATCATTCTTCTCTTCCATGATTGGGGTTGGAAAAATGTTCTCAACACTGCTAAATGGGAACAAAGAAGTTTAAGTCTGAAGTGTAGTGAGGGATCAAGTGCCTGTGCAATACTGCAAGTTTGGCAAAAACATTCCAGGATAAAGGCAGTTTGGAAATGTGGATTGTGCAGAAATTACTTGTTCTGTTTTCATATGGGTTCATCTTTCATCCAGTCTAAATACAGCTTTTTTGATTTATTTCCATATATGAGCTATCCATATATTTAAATTTGGGATAATCTGTGAGCAAACTGGAATTCAGGACAGCCAGCATGATGTCCTGATAGTGTCAGCAATAGCAGTGCTGCTGGATTTCCTGAGCCTGCCCTAAACTGTTTTATCAGTCACTACAAACTGGGATTACACATTTTCTTCTGAGATCTTGTAAAATGGAAAACATGCACTTCCCAGGTTTCTTTGTTTACAGCTTTATATTAAAATATATACTCAAGAACTATCCTTAGGCGTTCCTGTAATGAAATCTCCCAATTAAAAAAAAAAGTTATGGGTCCATTTTATTTAGATATTCAACTGAATACTTTTCACTGAAAAAAACCTACATCCAAGAAACAACACATGAATTCAAAAAAGCAAGTAAGACTGTAAAATGACAAAAATAATGCAAAGACCTATAGGTAAATATGTATATTGAATTCAGAGGAAAAGGGCTATAATCCACCAATCCTATTACATTATTCAAAAGTAAATGGGAAAACTTCTAAGAACTGTTCTTTGCAGCAATTAAATCTGAAGAGAAGAAACTCTTCTTAGGTATTTCTGGGTGTTGAACAGTAATTTGAAATTAACAAAATGCCCACAAGTAGTTTTTATGAAAATTCCTTTAAAAATTAACAGATACAAACTAGTTTACAAAACCCTTAACCTAGCTGTGTCAATTCTTATCACAGCACTTGCTTTTGGCCTACCTGGAGCCTGCTTACATAGGAAATACTTCATTTCCTATGCCAAAATAAAAATGTGTGTAGAGATGGATTAGTTCAAAACAGCCATTCATTTTTAAATTCTCACAATAAACTCACTTCAGGACAATTTAACATACAGGTAAGTCCTTAATACCATGGCTTATTTTTCTAGGTGGTTTATTTAGCACAAATAGTTACAACTGTTAGAAAGGTTAAAATACAGTGTTTTGGCTGAGATCATGCAAAATCCAACCCAGAAAATAATTTGTCTGGGGGAGGGTAAAGTCAGCTGAAAAGCAAATGTTGATTAGAAGAAATGTTAAATTCAACCTGAACTAAAGCAGGTGTTACTGACACCTGCTACGGTGTTACAATCTGTGCAGTGGCATAAACAGATTTACACATACTTTAGTGGCTAGACACTTTGAGGGCACACAAGGCAGGAGGGAAAGGGCTATTGCTGGTCAACAGGCTATCACTTAATTGATTTAGGCCCTGTGAAACAACCTAGTAATTACTTTTTAGCTGTAGTAGCTACTTGCAGTAGTTGAGTCATCCAAGGCATACATGTATTAAATCACTGAAATCTTAATCTCTGAAACAGCAATTTAAATATATTTAAAATGAAATGGTGAAAAACCCAGTATGTGCTTAAGATGAGGTCACTGTTATACACAGGCTTAAAGTTTTAAAACAGGTATTTTAATAGATTAATTTAACACAATTAATTAGTATTTTAATTCACATTCAGTATTTTTTCTCATCTAATGATAGTTGAGCTTGGCTTCCCTAACGCTTTGCAGTACAAGTGCAACCCAGATGTTACAGGTTTGAGTCTCCTCACATTTTTATGGGAAACCAACATAACAGCAAGACTTGGTTTTACAGTAATTTTGAACTAATATTTCTGGATAAATTTCTGGATACGTTTATTTTCTAAATTAAAAAAAAAAAAAGAAAAAAAGAAATTCATTCTGTGACTAGATTTAGAATGTTAATAAATCTTAAAAAGTGTCCTCAGATTATTTCACAATTACAGTTTTAAGATTTTTTTCATAGAATTTTGTTTTCTTTGATTGTAAGTGCTAATATGATGGCAGCCAGACATTTTCAATGCACACTGTATCCTTTTTGAAGCTTGAAAAATAACCTCTAGTGGTTGATTTTTGTTTATGTACAATAATTAACTTCTTTGAATATGCCTCAAACAAGACATCTTCAAATCAAAATTACAATATTTTCAGGAGAATTGCTGCCATAGTCCTCACAGGTTATAGGAATCCTAACCACACTGTAAAATACAGGTAGTATATTTATATAGGAAAAAAAGAATTAAAAACTAGCTGCATCCAAGTTATACTTACATCTCCAAACTATAGCATATTTAGATAAGATTATTATTTTTCTTGATTTTGTCATATTTAAGAGTTTTTACTACATTACATTGAAACAAACAGTGTAACATTTAAATACATGGTTGTTCAGGGTTTTTTTTTGTTTGTTTGGTTTGGTTTTGTTTTTTTAATTAGTTATATTCCTTGTTTTAGATCTTCAGGATATTTATAAAACTGTAAAAAAAAAAAATCCAGACACTAAATATAATTATTTTATGTTTAACCAAATTTAAAAGATGCAGCTGAGAGCTGAGGATTTACTGCTTCATGTAAGTAAGAACCCCTTTTTTCTGATGCTGCCATACAGTAACATCACCGCATATGTAATCACTGAAAGTTCTGGTTGTTAAAATCTTTTTCAAACTCTCCCAGATCATGTTGTGAGCTAAAATCTGCTTTTATACATAACATATCATTAATCATGCAACTAACAAACCCAACCACTTACTGTAAGGACTGTTAAAACACAAATAGATTTACAGGTAGAAAGGACATTTCAAACTTAAAATTTACAGGACCAGTAAGAGCCAAACATAGAAGAAATGTATTTCCAAATTCAGTAACTACTCACGTAGAAGCCCAGCCCATTAATGGGTTCTCCCAGCGCTCCCTGTTATCAAATTCCATCTTCCATTTCTTTGTATTGTTAACTCCTGCCTGCATTGCATTACGTGCTGGAACAAAAATGTGAACTTTTCTGGTTTTGATGTGCTCAGCTGGAACACCAGTTAAAGTAGTGATATCCTATGAAAAACACAACAGAACTTGTTAGAATGGGTACACATAAAAGGCTTTTATAATAAAACTGTTTATGTTTTTTACATAATTTCATGCTTTATTTTTATTTTTGAAGCTACAAAAAAAAAGAGAAAAATTGCAGAAAAGTATGTTATGAGTCCAGTTGTACAAAAGTGAAGCTGACTCATGTTGGGGCTGCTATCGTTCTGTTTCCCCTGACTGAATTAGATTTTGCATGGATCAGTTATGTGAACCTGCTCATCTCCCACCTACACAGTAGCTAGTGCCAGAGAAGGGACAGGACATTCTCTCCCATCCTCTGACCACAGGTGCAATGTTAGGACTGCTCTAATTTGCACTAGCTGAAGCAAATGTGGAAATGTATGAACTCTTCTTTCTCCCTTAAAGAAAGTGTTAGAGCACAGGCTGAAACAATGACAAATCCTGAAATTTTACATTACCATAAGGAGCCTAAATTTCATATGAACAGGACTACTCACCAAAATCCTAGCCAGCCAACTATATGCTGCAGTGTAAGTGCTTTCTCTTGGGCTTAAATCTGTCTGTAAGAGGCACCAACATCCACAATGACTCAAGAAGCTATGCGTAGCATGAAGGAAGAGGCAAGAGGTTATCTTTCCCACAAAAATCTATTGATTGATGAGACTGCAGAGCAGGTACTAGAATTCAGCTCCCTTATTTCTCTAATCATTAGTTATCGCATAAAATTGACCCCCTTGTCGTGTTTCAAGCTATAAATAACAGCTTTTGAGAGTCAATTCATCTGCTGATGTACAAGATCAAGAAAGAACATTTTATACTGGTAACATTCTTTGGTATTTTTGTGAAGGACAAAAGGATTCAGGAGATTGCAACCTTCAAAGCAAAAAAAGGCTTGTAACATTGTATATAGTCAGTAGTAGATGCCCTCCTCTACTAAGGCTTGGCTTGTGAGCCCTCAACAAATAAACCTAACAAAGGTAAATATTAAAGGGTCACAAAATCAGGCTAAAAATATTAACTGACTTTAACAAAGAATAAGATAGGGAAAAACTTCACAAGAATTGCTGTGAAAAATTACCCTCAGCAGCATCTGATATAATCAAAGTGAACTTTCTCGCTAAAAACTAAACAGTAATTACATAAAATTAACCTGTCAGTTCACCCTAGTAAAGAGTGAAATCAAACATCAAATCCATCTCTAAGGATGCTAAACTACTTCTGTTCCTTACATACTTAAAAGGCCAGTGGGAGCTCCTTGGTCTCCCTCTGTGTCCTCCCTTCCCCTCCTCTCTCCAGGAACAAATAGTAAACTGGTAAATGTCCAAAAAAAGTGCAGCAAAACTTCACGTATATTGAACTCATCTCACCAGTACTGCCATTATTTCAATTAAAAGGCAAACAAGTTTAAATAAAACACTGTGGCTTTACATGTCTGTAGCTACTAACTCTGTGGGATTTTGTTTTGTGGCACACTTCAAAGCTCTTGATGCTGTCACCAGATCAACCTTTGAAATGAGGAAAGTCTCATTTTTCATTTTAGTTCATAAAATAAATTTTGGGAGATCAATCCCTCTAAGCTACACAAAGGAGCAAGTTTAAATAATTTTACTTTTATATACAATTAGAACAGCAGGGGAAACAAACAAGCATGCACACTAATTTTCCTACTTCTGACATTCCTATCCAGCCTACTAAAAGAAACTGTCAAAAATACCTTAACAATTCCATTATAAATGCTTTCATTATGACCAAGTAATGTTCATTTTTAATATGACTCTAGCAGTGGTATGAAAAAGAAACACTACCAGTCACTGGAATGTTGCAACATATAGGTAAAACACCTCCTGACAGACTGGCATTTCTGACTGTTGAAACTTAAACCATAGTTTTAGATGGAAAGAGCTTAAAGTTTTCTTACTTGAATTGGCAAAGTGCTTTGTTTAACAAAAAGGGGTTTTTACCTGCAGCAATGTTTAGTGGGGCTTAAATGGTTCAGCTTGCCTCTTTATAGGAATAGGCTACTATTAGCAGCCTTTTTTTCTGTATTTAACAAATATGCCTACTGAGAAAACGTAAAAATAATAACAAAAAATTCTTTCCCCTGTGAAATAGTAAGCTATGTGCAACAATTCTAGGTTTGTTATCATCAAATACCTCCCAAATAAGCAAGCTTCAAAATGATCAATAATATTTTTTTACTATTATTATTCTCAGCAACTCCTATGTTCATTATGGGTTTTGTGCTTCAGTGCTTCTGATTTCGAGGTTTTTGAACTGTTCCAGAACTATCTGGAATTATTAAAAAAAGACACTATGTTAAATAACATTACGGACATATACAATTCCCTCTTTTGAAGCCTCCACACCAGAAAAATCACAAAAATACTACACATTAGTGCATACAGAACAGAATTCAAGAAGAGTATTAAAAACCAGGAAATGCTATGTTTATTAAGTAACCATGGTAAAGAAATGCCTAGACTTGTCCATCTGGATGAAAATAAAACCAAACCCCCAGACAAACTGTAAGTCCCTTCAAGCCATGTTTTTTCAGGCACTCAGTTGGCTCCAAATTGAAGTTATTTCACTAATAATATAGGATTCATCTCATAAAAATATTTCCAATGTGAAAATTAAAACCTGCCTGCTTTGTGAAACTAAAATGTCTACATGGTGTTGCTAGCTTTTCATACTTTGATTCATTACAGCTAAAGTTTCCATGCCTTCTGGGAATCTAGCAATTGTTTATTGATATCTTCCCCATTTTAAAGCTGGCAATTGAACAGACAGTTGTTAGGACAATGAGTTTCTGGTTTCTGAAGCCCAAGTTGTCCTGACATAAAATCACTGGTTTTGCTTGCTGTAGACATGCAGGGTACTGTAGCATAGCTGAACTGTTGCCAAAGATATGGAATAAAAAAGCTTGGCATCTATCACATACTTGACACCTAAAGAGCACAGAAGCTCTAAAATTCCTATTCCCTGTAGGCGCACTCTTAGTCTAGACAAACTGATTTCTCACACTTTTAAAATGCATTACAACACTCTATTGTGATCATTTCATCCACAGAGCTCCAGCTAGTGACAGAAGAACCTGTCCTTTAAGCGACATTTCAATGGGCTAAAGCTCCCGCTCCAAGATGCCATTAAAACAATATAATACTTGAAAAGAACTATGCTGCACTGGGTTGAACTCTTTACTGTGTCTTCAGTGCTTTGTTCTGAGTTCAAGTTCTCATTGAAACTACCTGCGAACCAACTTTCCAAAACAAAGATGTTTTTGACAGCTGGTTTCACATTACTTTTTTTTTTTGTTTGTTTTTCCTGAAGTGTTCCTTGCAGAATTTAGCTATATTAGTGTATTAAAATGTTAGTGAGGTGTTCAGCATTCAAAATTCTAAATAATAAGGTGACAATGTAAAGACTTGAGATTTGAAATTTATAGGTTTGCTTTACTAGAAATTAACAACCCTGCTTCACTTTTAACACAGCTTATCATCTAAAAGGTGCATTCTGATATTATGTTTTTCTTAGTATATATAAAGACTTATTTTTACTAGCAACCTTTGAATTCTTTTACAATTCAAAATATTAAAATACTCATTTTGAAGCATTTTGGTTCTTGAAATAAGCTGAGAGGGACAAACCAATTTTTTTAAAGCAGAAATCACATCGAATTGCTTACAAATGAAGAGGAGATATTGTCTTTATTATAACTTACACTATTTAATAACACTTGTCATGGTGGAAAGCACCGTAAAGCTGTTCTGGAGAGAGTAGTAAGAAATGATAAATGTGCTATACAGCAAGGAGAAAAACTGGTTCACAGAGGCGGTGTCAATGAAAGCAGTATTCAGCATGAATATAACTTTTAAAGGAAATGAGAATTTCCTACTGTTAAGCACTCCACTAATAGCACAAATTCCAAAGGGGACAAGAAATGGAACTCTATAATTCAAGGGAAAGAGACAAAATGATTGAAAGTATCTCTGAAAACCAGTGTTTTTGAATAGATGGGTCAGGTGTGCATAAGGGTGTCGTGTTTCTCCTATGACACTTCTTTTAATGCATAGACAGAAACTGTACATAACCACTATCAACTATCTACTGTTTAGCACAACCCCCCTTTAAAAAAAAAAAAAAAATAAAGGAAACAGGGAACAAGCAATGGGAAGTTGATGTCAAAACACAGAAAAACCTCCCAGCAAGCTTCCAGCAACCACCCAGGATTTAGAGTCTTGATAGCTGCTCTCTTTTCAATACCAGAATTTCACACATTTCAATGACCATTATGACTTCAAAGAATCAAATTTTCATCATTGTCCGTCATCTGCCGGTTGATTTGTATAAAGGAGTTCTTCTGCATGCACTCCAGACAAAGGGCTCCTTACTTTCGTGGCTATATATCAAGTTTAAAAGTTCTGTTTGTGACAGTTGTGTCTGTGGTAAATTAGGGTAACACTGAAGGAGTGCAGCTGCTCTGTAGGAACCTCCTTTTTGGCATCATTTCACTTAAATAAAAACTGAATAATTAGCTTCTGCCTTTATTAAACCACAAAAATGCCACTGGCCTTAGTAATTACTTCCGGTTGCCCCACCTACTTAACCTCAACAGTTTACACTTGTTAGAAAGGAGGGAAAGTAGAAGTTTTCTGTACTTTATAGGAGTTTACAACAGCTTGCTCTCTTCCCTACCTCCAACATGTTTTACCAGACTAAGTGCATAAAGTTTTGCTATACATTCATGTTGCAATACACTTTCTTTAGGAGCTGCTATATCAAAGCAGAGAACATCTTGCATAATACCCACAAAATAGCTGCTGCAAAAGAAGCTTTTTATTTTGTGTGCTCAGCTGCTTAGGCTGTAAGTCAAGATAAGAACATTTACGTTTCTACACTTCAATACAGTATTTTTGAAGCAAGTGTAAGAGAACAGAATCTACTATGCAAATTGTAAGTGGAAAAATGGAGCAGAATGAACTAAATGTGGTCAGACAACATTT